ATAGACCTTCGTGGTCAGGCTGACCGTGCTTCCGGCATCGTCAGTAACCTCAGGAGATTGGTTTAGCGATTGCTAAGGCGCAACGTCGTGCACGTTTGTAGTCGGATCGTCAAAGTCGTCTCCATCAAATCGATACTTATCATCTCATCGAAAGATCGGGACACCCCCGCCTCTATCACAAATGCACATGATCAGGTTAATGTATCTATACCACCATTTAATGGCCGTTTTAAACCTGCTTTATATATTGAATGGGAGTTCGACATAAAAAATATATTTGCTTCCCATAATTTCAATGAACATAAAAAGGTTAAGGTTGCGGTTGGTTCTTTCACTGGTTATGCTTTGGTTTGGTGGAGTGAATATTGTCGGTTACACCCTGATTATATACCTACTACTTGGGATGATTTGAAACTTGCCATGCGACATATTTTCGTCCCTGCTTATTATACTCGTGACATGATTAAGAAGTTGCAACACTTAAAACAAGGTAGTGAAACTGTAACAAAATATTATGATGATTTACAAACTACCTTGTTGCATTCCTCTTTAGAAGAAAGTGAAGATGATTTTATGGATAGATTTTGGGGAGGATTAAACCGTGATATTCAAGAGATACTAATTCATGAAGAGTGTTATCCTATGGACCATTTGTTTCATCTTGCTTGCAAAGCTGAACAGGAAATAAAACGACGTGTTGGCCACGAGGAGAACAAGCGCACGGTGCACATTCCAAGAGTTGATATGATTGTTCCTTCAACTACTAGGCATAATATGACAACCACATCCGTTGTTGTCAGGACTACATCACCTCCACCATGTGACACATCGCCCCCGAGAGTGGCTACATCATCTGAGTTGATCATAAGAGGTAATGACAAAGGTACTGATCTTCCATCTCTACATGAGAATGATGAATGCCTTGTCAATTTGAATGCACCATCTGATGAGCTACCCACTACTTTGATCACACCACCTATTTTAGAGGACTACGTTGATAATTTGACTTTGCCATGTGATCAAACAACTGAAATACCAACAATTTTGAGTGCACCCATTGAATTAACTATTGATGCAAAAGAACCAATGTTTAATCATTTTGATATGACCTCTAATCTTGGTGATGATTCTGTGTTGAATGACTTATTGCATGTTTGCTTATTTAAGCATGTTGTAGCATGTAAATTTGATGCAAGTAAGGTTTATTCACCAATGTTGGGATGGTTTAATGATGAACATTGTCGATCTTTTGAAATGAATAAGAGCTTCACTTATATGTGCAAACTGAGTTGCAATATTTTCATGCCTTCTACTTCTTGTGCTAATTTTTTGGCTTTAGATTTTATGAACTATGCAAGTTACTCATCTATTCATGTGTCATATATGCAAAAATCAAGGGAAGTAAAAATGGATGACATATACATATACAACATGTACACCTTGTCTCTTTTGTTAGCCACATTTCAGATTAAGCAACGCCGAGGACGGCTTTATTTTCAAGAAGGGGAGGATGATGAGGACATGACTACCTTGGATATGACCAAAAATATTGCATATATGCATATTTGTCACGTGATTTCTAGTGCAAACTATTCAATAATCTATTTATGTTATCCAGAACAAAAATACTTCACACACTTTTGTGTTTTGTCTAATTGCAGGTGTATGGGACATTTGTACAATCCACATATGAAGATAAGGAAGAAAGAGATGTTTATTTGCTATCCAAAAAGTTCTCTCACGTCACTTTTGGCCCAAGAGAAGATAGAGTCCAAGTCTCTCACGTTCTGGATTCAGATTCGGACTGCACAGACACACCTGACTCAAAACGCACACAAGTTTTTCATACGGACTCCAAATTGGGTGATTCTTTTTTTGTTGGAAACTAGATTTAGTGCACTTTCCAACCCAATTGGAATCACCTTCAAATTCGTCCGGAGCGTTGAGTTGTGGACGAAACAATCTGATGCTGCAGCAGAATCCGAGTCAAACTACAAGTCCAAAGGTGTTACATCACCTCCACTTGGGCCCATTGGCCTTGTACGACCTAGATTTAGTTTTAGGCTGCCTTGGGACGTCCTCCCACCTCCTTGGCCGCCACCCCTTGCTCCTATATAAGTAGATCCATCTAGTAGCTTTTCCTTGGGATTTGTATAGTTAAAAGTTAGCCATTGCAACTTCGTGTACTTCGTTTGTGTCCAACGACCAGACCAAGACCGCTTACGGATCCCCACCTTTATCAATACTTCATATATACTCGCAATATTCAGATTGCTTTTATCATATTCTGGCTTGTTCTTCGATTGCTTGCAGGAATAGACCTTCGTGGTCAGGTTGATTGTGCTCCGCGTGATCAATAACCTCTCGGAGTTGGTTTAGCGATTGCTAAGGCGCAACGTCGTGCACGTTTGTGGTCGGATCGTCAAAGTCGTCTCCACTAAATCGATAGTTATCATCTCATCGAAAGATCGGGACACCCCCGCCTCTATCACGTGGAGGCCAAAGAAGGTGATGGTAACTACCACTGCTTGTAGATAAAAATTGTCACACACACACACACACACACACACACACACACACACACACACACACACACACACACATATATATATATATATATATATAAGCAACATTGCACATAGTTTTATTATAACCAAATAAATCATGTAGTACCACAATAATAAATAGTTTACAACCAAATAAAATGTATAGTTTACAAACCAAAATAAAATTTAAATTGTCACAAATACATAGAAAAAAATCTGATACATCTATTGGTTGCCGAGGTGATTCCACATATGCTCAACCAAATAATTTGAGTTGAATGTGAGTTGCCCAATCATGCATTTCATGATGAAATTGAGTGAATTGTGCAAACGTTGCCGGTCCATTCTCAGGCACAACATTTTCACCCTGAAAGTGAAACCCTTGGTCGAAGATTTTGTCCTCACGCTCATCCTCTACGATCATGTTGTGCATGATCACACAAGCAGTCATCACCCCACAACTTCTTGGTGCTCCAAGTTCTAGCAGTACACGGAATGATGGCCCATCTAGATTGAAGCACACCAAAAGCATGCTCCACACCCTTCCTAGCACTCTCTTGTGCTTGAGAAAACCTAGCCCTCTTCTCTCCTACCGGATTGGAGATTATCTTCACAAGAGTTGACCATTGATGGTATATATCATCAGCTAGATAGTATCCCTTGTTATAATGGTGGCCATTGATCTCAAAGTTGACCTCTGGATAGTTTCCTTATGCAAGCCTTCCAAACATTGGAAAGCGTTGAAGCACATTGATATCATTGTGAGAACCAGCCATGCCGAAAAAAAGAGTGTCAAATCCAGAGATCTTGTGAAGCCACAATTTCAAGTATGACAGTGCAACCTTTGACATGCCCCTTGTACTGCCCCTGCCAAGCAGATGGACAGTCCTTTCACCTTTGGTGCTGCATACAATCTATACTACCAAGCATCCCGGAAAGCCCCTATCTGCATTGATCACCAACAACCGGGATGTATCCGCAACATTTGGCTGTCTCGGGTACTCGGCCCAAACACTACTACCGCAACCTTGCAGAACTTGTACAATGACGCAAGGCATGTGGACATACTCATCAATAAAATCACCGAGAATTCCGTATGCAAACATCCGAATAGTTGCAGTGCATTTTTTATAAGAAGAGAAGCCAACCTTTCCAAGGGCATCCTCCTTGCATACGAAATAATCATCATGCGCCATCACTCCCTCCCAAATATGGTTGAACACATGTGTCGCCATCCGGAAGCGGCCCCGCAAAAGCATGGGGTTGAATAATGGGTACGTGCACTGAAAGTAATCGGCGAAGAGTAGGCAATGGTCGATCTCTCTATTGCAGTTCAACGCCGGAGCATGGCCTGGGATCGATCCCCTAAACCTCAGCCACTTCCTAGCAATGTGGTACTGACGACCATAGTTGTATCCACAAAATCCTTATCATTCGATGAACACATGAAAATTTTGAAAAAAGAACTCATCCCACTATCCATGATACCCTGCGGGCGAGACGTCGAACACCTTGCAGGCGTGGTGGAAAAACAGGGCGATGAAGTGCCCCGGGCCTATTCCCCATACAAGCAGCTGGTCTGTCGAAGTGGAGGCGACCATGGAGACAGAAGGTGAGGGGGCGACGCAGACATGGAGGTGTTAAGACGACAGCGAAAACAAGTAACCAACATTGGCAACAACAGGCATCGAATGCAGCATGGAGGTGGGGGAAGAGTGTGGATGCGGGCGGCGGCCTGGGCAGTGTCCAAGCAGCCAAAAGTGGGAGGCGGCGCCGATGGCAACATGGCCAGAGGGGTCGATTGTGGAGGAGGCGAGAGGGAAGAATGGGCATCATGTCACTAATGGACGAGAAAGGGGAAGGATAAGGGTGGGCGTTGGGTGCATCCACACCGACACAAACCCAACCGAAATTTGGGCCAACAATGGATCGCGAGCAGGCAAAAAAAAGACACACGTCCATTTGCGTTAGCGCGTTGGGCCAAGATTAATTTGATTTAGCCCAAGCCATGTTCTATTTGAACTAACATTTCAGTCAATGTAACCAGGCCGGGAGTACGAGTGAAGTAGGCACGTCCGAGGTGGCCTCAATGCACAACTTTAATAGCAAGAACGACCAATCTGCTGGATTACCGGGACCAACAAACATACTGCTTATAGTATCGGCACACTAGTACTCTCACTCCTAGAATTGCTGGTTTGTTTTTATTATAACACCGGAGAGCCGAAGCCTCCAAGCTCATACAAATTGATCCACCGATCCACCACAATAAGATGGTTTGTACACAAATTAATTGATCGACTGGTTTTCTTTCCTTAGTCTGATGAGACTCTCATACTTCAGAGGGTTTTCGCGGAATCCTTACCACACCATTTTCTGAAGAGTTAACCAAACATGAGAATTAGAAAGTACAGTAGTGTAATTCTTAAAGATATGTGAGATCACAAGCACACCTCATTGCAAAGGAAGACTCTTATGGGTGTATTCAACATCCTTGTCACCATTCACCACTTGCCCTTTCCCTCGTAAGAGCCTACATGTCAAAAATCAATCGATCCAACAATCAGTATTCTTTCATGTTCATTGCATTTTGTTTCAAAAATAATAAAATTTATTAGCTATAGTAGAACAAGTAATAAAAGACTGAACCACCAGCGCAGTTTTAGTATTGATATGTAGTCCTTTTGCTATCACGAAAGCTAATTACTCCTATTTAATTGGGAGGTTTATTCTAGCTATATGATTTGTGATTGCCACCTGTTGACTACATTAGATGCAAGGATGACAGTTTCTTCATTATAATGCTTATGAGATAATTAGAAAGCTACTTAAGATTTACAAATTGACCAAAACATGGCAGTATTGCAGTTGGTTAAAAGTAATGTTTTTGCAGCTATGAGAGCAAAATCTAACTAGAACCAGCAAAGATTCAAAATCTAATAGAACCAGCGAAGATTCAAATGATGAACAGCTTGCACTGCACAGTAGAACAACAACATAGCTAAGGGGACGTACAATCTCCCAGAAGACATAGCAGTATGGGAGGACATGTTGATCATACTAGCCATGGATGGGATTAAAACCTAAATGCAATTAAAAAATCAGATAGTTTATCTATTTGTTAGTAGATCTAAATAGCCATAACTATTTAATTTGCAGTCCCCTAAATTCCTATAGATGGACAGTTTAAATTACTTGAAGATCAAAATTGGAGTCCAGTTATTAAAATGTTCTTAAATTACTTCAGAACTTAGGCATCAAATGATATCAACTTCCCGGATTAATTTGGAGTAGGTCTGTACTGTTCAATAGCAAATATATTTCATGTCTGTTCAGTAGCTTAGTGACATGATTAGTCTAACATATAATCTTATCCCTACAAAGTTTGGTTGATTGGACTATCAATTTTTGAAGATACAGCAATGGACATAACAAAGGGACTACATAGAATAGCCAGTTAGCAACATACCATCGTGTAGTTAAAAGACCTTCAACACCCACAGGTCCACGTGCATGTATACGGCCTGTACTTATGCCAACCTATTTAAGATATTCCAAAGGATTAAAGATGCAGACATGGTAGTAAATTATCAAAAAAATAACATATAATGTTAGAAGTACCTCAGCACCGAGTCCAAAACGAGCACCATCAGAGAATCTTGTACTCGCGTTGTATAATACGGCAGCACTATTGAAATTTTACAAGTAAAAAGTATCGTTAGACACTTAATCACCACAGAATATCAAAGTGAGCTGTAGCACAAACAATGAAATAAGGTATCTGTTGCCTCAAACTGTACAAGATCTAAAATTGAAGACATGGACTTGTTCAGAAATACCTATCAACTTGACGTAGAAAGGTCTCTGCTACTTTATCATCTGTAGTGACCACACAGTCTGTATGTGCACTGAAAATAGGACAAACAACAGAGAGAAATTGGTTAAAACCAAATCTCAGTTTTCCTGAATATACTTAGAAATCGAATCGGGGAGACAGACTATAGAATAACTCTTAAGCTACCTTCCATAGCGATGTATATGGTCAATTGCTGATTGTACATCATCAACTATCTCAACTGTGCAAGCCATAGAACTGTACTCCAGATGTAATGAATCTGCTTTCGGGTAGCCCAATACTTTATGCGCAACAGGCCCGCAATAAAGATTAACTCCTGCGATATATCATTAGTTAAAACAGGAGAATCATCAATCCACATGTCTCTAAAGTATTTTGTTTGACTGTACTGACTGAACCAAACCTCACATGCTTTAAGTGGAAGAACAAAAATCACAAGGACTAATAGAATATGATGCACCTAAAATTACAAACATTTACCAAGCTACAACCAATCATCTAGTACTCTGCTAGCTGTTAAGCTTCATGCACTAGCCAACGCAACCAAAAGTCCGAACTGATGGAAAGGGCTAGTGCAATCCACATATACTGTAACACCCCCTCTCACGTGTGACGGGGAAGACAAGTCAACACGTGCAACCGGAAGAGAGCGACGGCGCGCGAAACTCACGTATGACTCAAGAGGCCTATACGTGGACACAAAGGGGGGCATCGGCAATTTTTAGATAAATTGCACAAACCAGGACTTGAACTCAAGACCTTAGCTCTGATACCATGTTAAGCTTCATGCACTAGCCAACGCAACCAAAAGTCCGAACTGATGGAAAGGGCTAGTGCAATCCACATATACTGTAACACTAGCAAGCAGCAATTATGCAAAAAGCTAAGGAATTGCATATATTGGATGTATCTAGCACTGAAATACATCTAGATACATCCATTTCAGCGACAACTAATTCCGGACGGAGGTCGTACTTGCTAAGTGGATTATTAGATTTGGTAAGCACAGTGAAGGTAGCTGTTATTCTGATTCAGAATACATTTTTTCCCAAACTGGTATAATCCTGTTTTCCGTTACTTCCATACTAGAAACGAGCGGTTCAAGAGCGCAAAAAAAGAGAGAGAAATGGGAGAATCGAGTTCAATACACTGCCAGGAAACCCATTGTGAAGCCATGGTTCAGGAGTTACCTATGTAACAAAAATCTCACAGGACAATAGCATCCTAGTTTGAACTTTCCTACAGACCTTGGAAGTTCAAACTACAATTTTAGATGTCAGGTTCTACAAGATTAATGTTTGGCAATTAATTCCTTCTACACGATACTGTTAATAACAAACATAATCATAAGCGGATGATAATACTGTGAAATGTGAATGTAACATTTCCACTCAACTGAATACTAAAAGTGAGTGAAAGATAGTGTCAACTCTTGAATGGACACTATATATGAATCAACCAAAAAAGATACAACTACAGTGAATGAGAGCAAAAGATAAACCTGCTGTCTTGAGTGCTACTAGTATGTCATTAAGTTCTGGAGTCTTCATAAGATCTTTATGAACAAGCAACGTCTCCTACAGACAATACAGCCAAAATCAGTCAACATATAAAAATAGAATGGAAAACTACAATCAAGACAAAAAATGTTAGAAGAAAAAACTACCAAGATTAGTAGGTAAATCTTCTGCGGCAAAGAAAAGGGTGATTGATGGGAATACATTGCGATATCAAGAGATTAACAGTGAAGCAGGCATGACACAAACATATGATTATCAATTGCAAACAATATTTTTACATTCAACATTGGGAACATAAAATATATTGTTTGCATTTTATGTCCTGACACTGAATGTACTCCCTCCATTCCAAATTACTCGTCGTGGTTTTAGTTCAAATTTGAACTAAAACCACGACGAGTAATTTGGAACGTGTTAGAAAACGTGAGGAAGAGAGAATGACCGAACAGTTTTCTGTATTGAGGAGAGAGATATATACAAGGTTACATGGGCCTGGGCCTCACTCTAGACTATGGGCCTGGGCCTGTACAAGACAAACACAACATATATACTTAACACCCCCCTTCAAACTTAAGGTGGGTCAGGAGCATCTGATACACCAAGTTTGAGAGTGTGAAACCTATGCTGATCTCTAGTTTGTGCCTTGGTGAAGAAATCTGCGACTTGAAGCTCTGATGGGACATATTGTAGCTTGACAGTGGATTGTTGACAATGAGATTGAGTGAAAAAGGCATCCACACCAATGTGTTTGGTCAACTCATGCTTGACTGGATCATTAGCAATCTGAATAGCAGCAGTGTTGTCACAAAGAAGAGGTGTTGGTGTATGACATAAGACACCAAGATCATCCAATAGCCAGCGAAGCCATACAATCTCTGCTGTAGTAGTAGAGAGAGCCCTAAGCTCTGCCTCGGCGTTGGAGCGAGACACAGCAGTTTGCTTCTTTGATTTCCATGCAATGAGAGATGTACCAAGAAATATGCAATAGCCAGTGACCGAGCGACGATCAATAGGATCACTCGCCCAAGTGGAATCAGAGTAAGCATGAAGCTGGAGCTGACTGGAATTAGCATAGAACAAGCGGCCAGATGTAGTTCCCCTTAAATACCTAAGGACTCGGAATAGGTGACCATGATGAACTGAGGTGGGAGCACAGACAAATTGACTGAGAATATGGACTGCATGTGCGATGTCAGGTCTGGTCACTGTGAGGTACACTAGACTGCCGACAATGTGACGATAGCGAGAGGGATCCTCAAGAGGAGTGCCATCAGTAGGACGCAACTGCAGATGAAGCTCCATAGGTGTAGCAGCAATGCGCGTGTCAGTGAGACCTGAGCGAAGAATCAAATCCTGAGTGTACTTTTGCTGGGAGATATAGTAACCATCATCAGTATGCTCGACCTCAATCCCGAGAAAATAGCTGAGAGACCCCAAATCTGACATCTGGAATTGTTCACTCAATTTTTTCTTAACAAAATCAATATACCCAACATCATCTCCAGTGATCAACATGTCATCTACATAAAGTAGAAGCAATGTACGGCCATGCTCAGATGTATGAATGAAGAGTGCAGAGTCATGTTCACAAGGAGAAAAACCGGCAGCTTGAATCACAGAACTAAACCGCTCAAACCAGGCACGAGGGGCTTGCTTAAGCCCATAAAGAGCCTTTCGAAGACGACAAACATGACCTGATGGAACCTTGATACCTGGAGGTGGCTGCATATATACTTCCTCATGTAAATCACCATGAAGGAAGGCATTCTTCACATCCATGTGGGAAATTTTCCATGACCGAGTAGCAGCCACAGCAATTAGAGTTCGAACTGAAGTCATGTGAGCAACAGGAGCAAATGTCTCATCATAATCTTTCCCATGAGACTGCTGAAAACCTCTTGCAACAAGGCGAGCCTTGTAGCGTTCCACAGAACCATTTGACTTGGTTTTAACCTTATACACCCATTTGCAAGTGATAGGGACTGAACGAGGAGGTAATGGTACCAAATCCCATGTACCAGTACGCTCTAAGGCTGCAAGCTCCTCAGACATAGCCAGTTGCCACTCTGGTGACACAACTGCCTCCTGATAGGTACTAGGCTCAGAAACAGCCCCTGCATATAAGTCCTTTTTGTATCGCGTTGCTAGAGAAGAGCCGTCAGTGCAAGGATCAGTAGTACTGGCTGGAGGAGTAGAAGACAAAGGCATAGATGACTGCGTGTCACATGGAACTTTAGAACGACGAGTGTAATGGAAAGTATTGACTGGAGGAGTAGAATAACGACGAGTGTAATGGAAAGGAAGACTATCTAGAGGTGGAGCTAGTGGAAGAGAGAAAGGAGCTGGTGAGGAAGGAGATGAAACATGTGGTGGAGATGGTTCTGCTGTTAGGACAGAGGAAGGTTGTTCAGCTATGGACTCATCTAAAAAGATAGGTGGAAGTGAAAGAAACGAGGTAGACTCTAAAGAAGTTGAGGATGATGGTTTAGTGGAAGGGGAATAGAAGAAGGGTTGATCCTCAACAAAAGTGACATCGCGAGAAAAGCGAATGCGGCGAGCAGAAGAATCATAGCAACGGTAGCCCTTATGTTCAAGACTATATCCAAGGAAGACACACTGAGCAGACTGAGCAGTCAACTTGGTACGCTCACGAGGTGCTAAAAGAACATAACAAGTACAACCAAAGACACGGAGGTGGTCATACGTGGGAGGAGAACCAAACAAAACCTCACCAGGACACTTGCCTTCAAGGCGAGTAGAAGGTTGGAGATTGATAAGATAAACAGCAGTTGAGATAGCTTCACCCCAAAAATGAGTGGGGACAAAGGAAGAAATCAAAAGGGTACGAGCTGTCTCAACAATATGGCGATGCTTACGCTCAGCAACGCCATTCTGAGCATGGGCACCAGGGCATGAAAGATGAGGGAGAGTACCCTCAGATGAGAGAAACTCGCAAAAAGCAGTA